CTATTTGTGGTCTTGGTGGATGTGGAAAAACCACCTTAGCAGCTCAATACGCTTGGAAGCATAAACCACAATACGAGGGAAGCGTATTTTGGTTCTCCATGGAAGATGAAGAGAAGTTTGAAAGTTGTGTGAATGACCTCGCGATACGTTTAGGACTGATGAAAAACTCATCAGATTTAACATTGAAACACATTCTAACATTTATATCGCAGCAAGAAAAGCGGTGGCTAATGGTTCTTGACAACGTCGACCAGCCACTGCTTTCTGTAAAAATGCGTATAGTTTTGAAAGGAAAATGGAAAAGGGAGACAAATGGTCACATATTGATAACAACAAGGCGTGAAAAGAAAGAAATTTGTCAGTGTGTGGATCTTGAGCCAAATTGTTGTGTAGAAATCACCCCTTTCTCTATCGAAGAAGCAAAAGAGTTTCTCTTGAGTCGTTGCAGCGGTGAAAATGCTTCAGACCAGGAGGATACGCTAAATGAGCTGGTTGATCTGCTTGGTTGTCTTCCTCTTGCCTTGGAGCAGGCTGGTGCACATATTAGATCTCTTGAGTGCTCTGTAAAAAAATATCTGGAACAATTCAGACTCGAAAGGTTAAAGCTGGTACGCGAGCATGAGGCAAATTCCTTGAGCGAGTATGACTCAACGAATCGTCTTTCAGTCCACACTACATGGTTACTGAACTTTGACCACGTGAGGAGCTCAAGATATGGAGAAATTGCAACCAGATTCGTACAGGCGGCAGCTTTCCTTGATCCAGATGAAATCCAGGAACGACTTATTAATACAGAGATTCTTTTCTCTGACATTGTTGCTGAAAACAAAACAGAACTCCCCCTCACGAATAACCATATAGTAGAAGTCTTGACCAAGTTTTCACTTTTTCAGAGGAAGTCTGTTGGATGCATGAGAGTACATCGCCTAGTGCAGCATGTTATTCGTGGTACAATGACACCACAAGAAGTCGAAAAAGCAATATACAGAACATTTCAGTTGCTAAAGAAGGCCGCTCAATCAGCTGGTGAATCAGCAACAAATAACTCTCTCTTCTCCATTATTCGTAACTGGTTGGCATTGAAGCGACATATTGAGGAACAAGTCAGAGCTACACCGGATGACTTATCGGCTAAGAAATTAGCGATATTGATGAACAGCGGTAATAGAGAAATTGTGCTGGAAGTTGCTCGTACTCTAGAGGGGTTAACGCAAACTTTAGAAAACCGTCGTGGACTGTCAGCGTTGCTAGATACCGACTACGACAGGTGTCTCGGTAAACTAACGCCAAAGTATGAAATAGTACAACTGCGCTCACAACCTGTAGTACTTGTCTCAAGATTGCCCTCAGGATCACCCTCAAGACCGTCCCCAAGATCACCCTCAAGACCGTCCCCAGGATCGCCCTCAGGATCGCTCTCAGGAGCTTCCTTTGGATCGCCCCAAGAATGGTCCTTAGAGAGGGCCCTTAGAGCCCTCACCAGGATCACCACCAGAATTGCCCGTAGGGTCGCCATGATATTCCTCTGTGGCAATCCATGTTTTCGTCGTGATGGTAACCAATGAACGCCATTCGCAAGGATCGTCCTTAGAATTGCCTTCGAGATCGTCCTCAGCATGGCACCCAGGATCGCCCTCTAGATCACCCTCAGGAGCACCCTTAGAAGCGCCCTTTAGAGCGCTCTCAAGAGCGCCCTTAGGATCGCCCCCAGGATCGTCCTTTAAGATAGCTCTTAGAATTGCCACCAGGATCGCCATTAGAATTGCCCTAAGGATCGCCTGAAGTATCATTCTAGACCTTTCCCTCCCTTTTGACGGCTATGATATTTTTCTGTGGCAGTCCACGTCCTCGTCTTAGTGGTTGCCATTGAACACTATTCTTTATGCTTAAGCAAGCAGGGTCGCGCGAGTTGGAAAGGCCTCATTTGGTGGGAAATTATAAAAATGTTTTCTCTACAAAGCTGCCACCAGAGCTTTCAAAAGTTCAATCGAATATGCCGAACTTGCAGAATGTGAGACCACCTTCTTTTCGGCTTTAAGCAAAACCTTCTAAATGATGAAGAAGTCATCCATCTATATGATATTAATACTTCAAAGAACCGTAATTTTCCTTACTGGCAGTGCGACCCATTTTATTTAAATGAATTACGAGACGACGTCTGTAAACCTTAAACAGGAAAAGATTTCAAGACCGATAGAAAGTATGTATTTTAATTTCAATGAAATTTTTAATCACAAAAGGCACCGATCATACGAATTTTTCCACTTTTTATTTAGAGGAGCATAGCAATATTTAATCGTTAAAAATAGGGGCTGAATGAGTAACTTTCAGTGGTGCATTGTAACCTCCAAATCATGCAACTGCGAAAGCGAAAGTCGATCTACTTAAGTTCTCAAACAAAAAAAGGCCATGTGCACGAAATCAATCTATAGACTTATTAAACAGAAATCCAGAGAAGCACTTCTATCCAACTCTTCCACTGAATCATTACGTTTTCGTTTGTTTGTGTTTATAGATGTTTAACTTTTTGGTTTTACCATTTTATTCGAATTGAAGATATAGTGACAGTTGGGGCCTGTTCATAAAAGTTGTCCAGAATAATACAACAATGTGCATCCTGATTAAAAATCTAGATCAGATCTAGTAATCAGATCTAGGATCGAAAAGCTTTTGTGTCAGTAACGTTTAGAAAATTCGCCCCAGCTCTATTCGCAACAAAATTTACTCTTGCCTGGCGTCTGACTCAAATTGGAAGATTTATTTTGGTTTTGCTGATGCAATTGGATTTGTTTAAAACGTATCACAAAGTCGAGGAGAGACAATAAGGAGATTATTTTTTTTTCGAGGGAGATATTTTTATTTGGATCATGATCTTTAATGACCTGTGGTCTTAAACACAGTGTCGTGTTCAGTCGTGAGGTTTTGAGTTGTTCTGATTTTCCGTATAAAGTCGCTTTCAAGTTCAAGGAAGCTCTACTATGCTCTTCCTTTCTTATTCAGATTCATTAACCCAATCATTATGTTTCTGTATAGCTCCAAACATGCATTAAGCCTCAGTACTGATATCATTTCACCTATGGCGACATCAAATCAAATTAATTATAACAATCATCATGCAAAACTTGGTTTATTCAAATTTTTGATATCGGTATATTTCTCTCAAAACTACGAAAACAGGTGTAATTCTTTGGGAAACGCCTACCCTTCCGCCCCCCCTCTGGTTTCTCAACACCCATCGCCTTCTGTAAAAGGCTGGTTATCACTGGCGACGGAGTCTTAGTCATAGTCGCAGTCGAAAGAGCGCCTCTGACAAAATGAAAATCGAGAATCGCAATCGTAAGCGGTGTCATAAGCTGGCCGTAATCGGAGTCAGAAGAATCGGAACAGTTCCATTTACTTTCGCTTCCTCTCATGACTCCAAAGCTTATGATCCAGTGAAAACTGAATTGTCGGAGTCGCAGGCAGAGGTGGAAAAATAAACCAATTACAATGCGAGTATTCAGGCCATCCGATCGCTTTCAATCCGACAATCCAGTTTCACTGGATCGTATGCGACCGCATTTCGTTTGATTCCATAGGTTTGACTTTCGTTAAAACATATCGCTTTATCCAACTCTGACTTCGTCGCGAGTGAAAACCAGCCTCTGGTGAAATAAGTTTGAATAAATTACTTGCGGCTTTTTTGATAGTTATCCGTATTGCTCAGACATCCATACCCTATCGAGTGTCCTAGCAATAAAATCGAGTTCACAAATCTACCTTGGAAATAAAATACTTGTCACCTGCACGAGTTTATAATTTCTTGTTTGTCCTAATTTTGCTTAGGGTTAGAATTCTGCGTTGGTATGTTGAAGTCCTAAATGTAATAACTGTCCTAAATGTAATAAAGTCCTAAATGTAATAACATTTGGTCCTAAATGTAATAAAGCCCTAAATGTAAAGACGTTCGGTCCTAAATGTAATAAGCCTCTTATGCAATCGTTTAACTGCGCTAACATTGAGATGTTAAAGTGACAGCTGTTGCACCAAAGAATCCTCTGACCAATATTCATGGAATATTGCGGGCTCACTGATATTAATCAGCGTCTTTTTATTCGCTAAAGACGTAGGTTGAGAAACATTGGCTACAAAACCTTATACTGATACTGATGTGCTTTCGGCATCAAATTCACGGACGCAAAAGCAATGAGAACGTTGACCAATAGCTCTCTTTAGATCATTGGCTCAGACTCTTAAGTGTAACAGATTTTGACGATATACTTCTGTCATCAGTGCTGAAGTTAACACTCCATGAACCGAATTACAAGGAAAAGGAAGTCCACCGACTTGTACGTTAAACAAATTCTGGGCTTGGAAGGGCATTTTTTGTACTGTCTTCCCCTGCCAGATTTGTACGGGTCTGCAGAAAATATATTCATATGCTTTATTGACCAAGCGCCAAGCGTGAGGTCAAAATGGCTGGATATTGGCCGTGTTCCTTTTTTTTTTCTTTTTTTTTTTGCGTTTTTATGGACTGAGACGAAGTCTCGGTCCATAAAAAAGTAGAAAACGAACGAGGCTAATATCCAGTAATCTTGACCATACAAGCTTGGTCAAGAGAGTTTATATTCTCTTGGCTTAATCATTAAAGGATTCATTGTATAGCAAAAGATTTCGCTTTGATAAGAATCAAGAATGGCCTGTTTATTTCGAGAGCCGATAGTGAAAGCCAACTGTGTTTGCAGCACAATAAACCCAGGAGGGTTGTTTATTTTTGTCTATGTATATGCAAACATTGTCCAAAAGTTACGAACTTTGTAAGTTTTCTTGCGTGGGATCAATACGGGGAATCCCGAGCGGGCAAGGGTGGGCCCATCGTGCCCGCTCAGGTAGCCAATCAGAACACAGAATTCACTTCATCTTGCCCGTGTGATTCAACACATGATGGTCAGTTGACGGTCTAATGAACCATTCATTTTTTTCCTTTAGCCCGTTATGACGGGTTCATCAGTTCCCGAACCGAAATATTGGGAAAACATATATGTTACAGTTGATCTCAAGTTTATATTTCATTTTTTGTCTTCATCTCTTCTCCCCGCCGTGAAAGGAGAAAATGAATAGATAAATAGATGAATGAAAAAAGAAAGCTCAACAGTTTCCACTTATAGTCATATGGTACATGAACTGATTACTGACGTGAAGTAAAGCCACAGAGGGCTAGAAATGCAATACCCCAGGTTCAAAATTGAATAATTCAGGATAGTCATTCTTAAAAATGAACTCAAAATTCCAGTAACGCCACTGATAATAATAATTTTCTTTTGAATTAACATGTGACACAGCGAAATCATTCAAACTGCTCTAAAATTGGTGCATAACTACTAAAGACTTTAACACGAACGATAACATCAGCAATAGCATCCTATTTCATCATCAATTGTAGTCAATTTCTTTTCTAAAAAGTCTTAATGATTACGTACCAATCGATTCCATCCCATTGAGCTTCCAGCCAAGCACTAGCTCAATTTGGGCTGGAAATGATTTCCTTCAACTCGATCAATAAACCGCTTTATGAACTATAATTCGACTGCTGATATTTCTAATGTCTAGCAAGTAAAAAGACAGTGATTGATAGCAGCGAGCCCGTAATGTGACATGTATACTGGTCAGCGGTTTTTTTAGTGCAACAGCTGTCACTAACATCTCAATGTGGATATCCGCCATAACAACAATGCACTGAAGGAGTTAATGTCATACGCGATGAAGTTGCAGCGCTCTCTAGAACATTGCCCGATTGGCTGGAGAAAAACAAATGAAAACCACCAAAGGGTGAGGTTGCCTCCTGGCTTAAGATATTTATTTATTTATTTATTACAATGTAAACCAAGGAAGGAAAATGCTAAAGTCTGAGTTTGGCAAAGTTTAGGCAAGGTAAAATTAGTTGAGCAAAGGCACGCGTGAAGAACAATCAACAAGACAAGATCTGAAAAAGATGTCTAGCAAAATTTTGGAAGGCAAAACGCCAGCGATGCAGAACAGCTAGGAAACACTGCTTTCAAGGGATTTCAGTGTTTCCACGACAAATAGTAAATATATCGTATTTGATGCGCCAGATCGAAACAAGTGGTTTACAGGAAGACAAAAAGAGTTAGAATCGCTTGAAAGGTGCCTCTCTTTAGAAAACAGCGACCACAAATTTAGAATGGAGGCCATTTCTGGTCTTAGTGGATGTGGAAAAACGATCGTTGTGGCTCAATTCGCTTGAAAGCACAAACCACAATACGAGGGAGGCGTATTTTGGTTCTCCATGGAAGATGAAGAGAAGTTTGAAAGTTTTGCGAATGACCTCGCGTTACGTTTAGGACTGATGGAAAACTCATCACATTTTATACTGACACAAATTCTAACGTTTATATTTTAGCGAGAAAAGCTGTGACTAATGGTTCTTGACAAAGTCGATCAACCACTACTTTCTAGGAAAATGTGTAAAGTTTTGAGAGGAATATGGAAAAGTCAATCAAACGGTCACATGCTGATAACAACAAGGCGTGAAAAGAAAGAAGTCTGTCATTGTGTGAATTTCGAGCCAAGTTGTTGTGTAGAAGTCTTTTCTTCCTCTTTTGACGATGCAAAAGAGTTTATTTTGAGTCGTTCAAGCAGTGAAAATGCTTCAGACCAGGAGGATACGCTAAGTGAGCTGGTTGTTGAGCTTGGTTGTCTTCCCCTTGCTTTGGAGTTGGCTGGTGCCCATATCAGATCTCTTCAGTGCCCTACAAGTAAATACCTAAAACAATACAAACTCGAACATTTGTAGCTTTTGAACGAAAGCCACGCAAATCCCTCGAGGGAGTATGATTCCCGGAGTCATCTTTCCGTCCACACTACATGGCTGATGAACTTTGACTTCGTGAAGAGTTCAAGATATGGAGACGTTGCAACCAGGTTCGTACATGCAGCTGCTTTCCTTAATCCAGATAAAATCTATGAAGGACATGCAGAGCTCTTTTCTCCAGACGTCCCGGATGCCGGAAAGAAAAGGGAACTTCCCCTAACGATAGCCAAATAGTGGACGCTTTGACCAAGTTTCCACTTTTTTAGAGGAAGATTGTTGGATGCATGAAGCTACATCGCGTGGTGCAGCAGGTTATTCGTGGTACAATGGTATCAGGAGAAATCGCAATGTGTACAGCATTTAGGTTGCTGAAGAATGCCGCTTTGTCAGCTGGTTAATCAGCAATAGATTTTGTCCGTTTTCCCCATAATTCGTCATTGGTTGGCATTGAAGCGACATATGGAGCAGCATGTTGAAGCTAAACCAGATGGCTTTGAAGCCCAAGAATTAATGCGATTGTTAAACAGAGGTGTTGATGAAATAGTGTTTTCAGTCTCTTATACCCTAGAAGGGTCTACGTAAACTTTAGAAAACCGTCGTAGATTGTCATCGCTGGCTGGGTGGACGAGAGCAAGAGTATGAAGAATTAAGAACACCAGTTTGGTCCCAAGTTTCGCCCCCACGATTGCCCTTACGAGATCGTCCATATGTCTTGAGAACTGCTATAACACGGCGCCTTCAGGATCACCCCATTATCGCCCATAGGATCGCCCACAGGATCACCCCCAGGATCGCCCCCAGGATCGTCGTTAGAATGGCCCTCAAGATCGTCCTCAGAAGCGCCCTCAAGATCGACAAGAGCACAGGTAGTTTTAAGAAGAAATGCTTCGAAACAATCGGCTTCATGCCAGTCTAGCCGCGTATCAAGATTTATCCATAATCATGGTAGCTTCTAAGAATTATTGAAAACAAAATGCAACCTCTTACAAGGGGGAAAGGGGTTAAAGGAGGGGGGAGGAGGTATTACAGACAAAATTATTTGCGACTCTAGATTATTACATGGTTGGCAGTGCCCGTGGGCAATTTAAAGCGAATACTGTGTCCTGATTAGCTACCCGAGCTAGCACAATGGGCCTATCTTGCCTGCTCAGGATTGCTCGCTTTGATCCCGCACAAGAAAACAATTACTTGAACAGTGAGACCTCGATTGAACGAAGTGCCAAGGGACTGGGGAAATTGGTTCCTTATATCTAGGGTTCGTTATATCGAAAACCTCGATTTAACGGATTTGCGGAAAACAACCAAAACGTTCGTTATATCGAGGTATGGTTAATAATTGTTTTGTTTTCTTCCTTTTTTGGGGTGTGACGTTGCTGTACTTAGCATTTTGGGATCGGAACGATTACTGTAAATAACATCTATCTAAAGAATTATTTTTTAAAAAAACTAAATTAGTGAGCAGCACTCTGCGAACAGAAGTTTTAAAAATTTTTTACTCTCCGCCGTCGAAGCGCGTTTCGTCTAACTGTCGTAGACTTCTTCTGGGAGTTTTACGCGATAAATCTATCGCGCTTTCGCTAAAAAGAGACAGCCAAGTAGTCTGACTCGAGTTCTTCCTCTGATCAGGTAGTAAAGAGAAATTCGGAAAAGGATCAATTATACCTGAAAACACTGGTCCGCTTAAAGAGCGTGAACTCTATTCATCAGTAAAAATGTTTTCTAAAAGTGTTGCCGTCTTAAAAGTAGGTAGAGTTGGCCGTAGTCGTTCTGATCACTGGAAAAAACTCTTAAATGCATCAAATCTCAATAAAACTCACTAGTTATCCCATAAATAAGGTGGTTCACTTAATCTGAATTCCAGTTCCTCAGAATACAACAAACTCTGTCATCCAAAGTATTCAAATTTATAGGATAGGGTACCCGAGACAACCTTCCAACGGAGTTACCCTAGCCGAGCTAACTTTTCAATTATTTCTTTGAAATTTTCAACCAACCGCTTACATGAAAAAGGCGAACTCGTCTCGAGGAGCGAGACAGCTCAGGTGGGCGAGCTGTCTCGCCTCAGCAAGTAAAGTTACCCTGTCAGGCGGGACAACTTTTTCTAATATAGACACTTTGGCTAGCCTGCCAGGACGAGACGGCTCAATTGTCTCCGGAGCCTCTGTCTTCTAAGTTAGTGGAGAGACTGGTGTGGGGATAACTTTTTTCAACTTTCATCTTCTAATAAACGCTCCGTTAGGTTGTCTCGAATACCCGAAAGCATAGGATCAAGAAACATTATAAATTCATGCGAACAGATTTTGATTGGGTATCCTCTGAAACAACACCCAGAATTTTGCATTTCTTATTGGCCTAATCATGTCTACCAATAATGTATCAGCCCGTTAATAGAAGCTTCCACCGGTCCTATCTATCTTGGGTAAGCAAGTTTTCACCATAAATAAACGGTGATTTCGGTGTTAAAGTGAAAACAACTGTTTAAAAAAATCATTTGACAAAACTGAGCATGACACGCATATTACCTGGAAGCGTTTCACCAACACCAATTACGTGGGATGCCAAGAGAACAGACCCGTTAAAAATCGGTTAGGTTTGTTTTCATGATGGTGAAAAACTGAAAAATGGACCAAAAGGATTTTAAAGAGCACCGTTGTTGACTTTCGAACGAAAAGCGTATCAAATGTGAGGTCTTGTATGGCGTGCCGTTTGTTTCAAAAGTAATTTAATATGTTGATATATGTTTCTGTTAACTAAGAAAAATTTCCTGTTTGAAAGTTCTTTGATATTCATCTGTAGCTTTGAGTATAAATTACTAGGTCAGTTTGGGTCAAATGAAAAACACTACTCCGTAAGTTGAGTATGTGCACCTACTCGATCAGCAATGAACATCACCTATTGAGTTGTATGGAAATATACAGAAACATCCCTCTTTCGGTGATATGCATCTTTTTCAGTCAGTTGCTAAAATCTAAACCTCGAACACGTTCTTCAGTCAGCATGGAAAGATCAAGTCAATTACTAGCAAGACCGGAAGTAAACAACACTACTCTCCAGAATCGTATCGGTCGATTTTGCGATTGTGACCACCTTGAAAAACAAACCCAACCGAATTTCCGCCTTTGTCTGCCCCATAGGAATGCCACGAAGTAAAAACTAGAGCGAAAAGATACAACAAAAACGTAAGGTTCGAAGATTTCATAATGAATAATTACAGAAGACAGATTTATATGTTTCGTTCGTTCCCAAGCATTCTCCTATAATTTCCATGCAAAAGTTTTCGCCAAGTCATCTCGGCCGCCTGAGATTGGACAATGTGACAATATATTCGCCAAGCTTTAAAGGCCCTGCAGGCCTAAGGAAACGAAAGGCTCTGGGAAAGAAAGAGCAAAAACGAGCGGCCCTGGGTATAAGGAACATCAGAAATTGTTACGATTTTACGATTGAATGGGAGAACGGAGACTTCCGAGTCGATTGAAAAACTTTCAGGTATTGCAATCAGCTACATTCAAAGGCTCGAGTCTGTAATTCTCACATATCAGAAGTCCTCACTGTAGGTAAGTTAAATTTAATTAAGCTGAGCTGGTTTGTGAAGCATAATATAGTTGTTGCAGTTAGTAATGACGTTGGTCTATCGCCCAACCCGTATCCAACAAATTAGAGACCAGAAAAATGATTGAGTGAAATTTAAGTATTGCTACGGAGGTTTATGGTGACATAATATGGGATTATCCACTGCAATATGCTTTTTTCACCCCTTAGGCATAGTAAAAGCTACAGCATCTACCAGTATTCCTTTAACTAGTGTCATTGGTTTCACTTGGAGGTTAAACCTTTAAGGCAACCATTAGGATATACGAGGGTGAATAATGATTTTTTAGATCATACCCTTCATTTTTTTTAAACTTCTTTTAAAGCTTATCATCTCACTGTAAATTTTTTTTTCATTATTTTCAGTAAGCAAAGGCTTCCCTTAATTTAACTCAGGTGCTCTGTGGGAGGTGCAAGACGAAAGTTTAACATCCATTAATTTTGCTTCCAGTCACTGACCTAAGGGTACACATGAGTCCAATAGTTTAGCGCGTAGGATTAAGAGCTAGTCAAGAGCATGTAAAAAAGAAAGGGACAACATTTCTATGCCTCCCAAACACTTTGATCACATGCCTTTTACATGGTAAATTGGGGTTATGTGAGGTTACGTTTAAGGCAGTAATATACAGTAATGTACTGTAATATACAGCTTTGCACATTAACAACAACTTAGTCCAACAGTGTTTTACTAAACAAACCTGATACTAGGCTTTTAATTGCAACACAGCAGGTATTTGGTGCAGCTGTTTGTTCAAACATGGAGAGATCAACTACTGCTGAAGAGAAAGGTATGGATATGCAATTTAATACCTCAATTAGATTATTAATACCCACTGGTATCAATGAATAACTATACCATGAAATAGGACTTATATCATGTCAACATTTTATGCTTGTGTTGCTCAAAAAAAAGTTTTCAGATATGTTACAAATTAGAAGGATTGGTATGAAAGAAATTTCCTAAAGTGCCCTTAATTTAGAGACATATTACATCCTTATGCAACCACCTGTACTTTTCTAAGATTTCAAATTGCTGTAACAATTTCTATCCAGTTTTCAAGTCTGAACTTTCCATCCTTGTGTCTTTAATTTGCCTCACTTATTGGTTTTTTGTAAATATGGGAAACTCACCTGTCTTTGTAACATCTCTTGCACAGAAAAGTTACACAGAAGGGCAAGCACTTCTCTCAAACTATAGATTTAGGCTATTGATTCTGAAGATTTTTAACCCTTTAACTCCTGAAACTGACCAGGAGACAATTTCTCCGCACAATATCAATACAATACTGTGCAGACAAGTGATGAGAAATTAAGAAAAATAGCAATCAGGGGATTACTGGCTGATCAGGAAAGAATTTCTCCTTACAATATCAATACAATACTGAGCAGACAAGTGATAAGAAATTAAGAAAAATATCAATCAGTAGATTAATGGCTGATCCAATACCAAATTCTCTGAAGTGAGAAGTGTATGGAAAAAGACAGGATAGTTCATAATGAGATCTTGGGAATGAAAGGATTACAAAAGATCTTCAATGATATTTCTCTGAAAATTTGCACTTTGATCAGATGAAAAATAATTGTAGGTTTTCTTGGATTGATTTCAGTCAGGTTATAACATTACCTAGTATAACCCTTATGACCAACTGTTGCAAACCACTAATTTCTGTTTGTACAGAAAAAGGTTGAGAATATTTTAGAAAAGAACCAGTTTAATATTATTTTCATAAACTGCATTTTGTTAGCATAGAGCATGAAGCAAATAATATGAAAATTTCCATACACTCTTGATTAGAAACAAGGTGTAAAATCTTCTTCAGATATTCCAAATTGTTTCCCAGAGGGAAACTAATGTTTTGACTTTTCATTACAAAATAAAAAGCATGCTAAAATGAAGAGGTCCTCCACTGTGATATTGTACAGTTGTAGTAAAATCGTAAGATAGAGATATTAAGTAGCCAATCATTTTGCCAATCGATAGAGATACCATGTAGCCAATTGATATGCCAGAAATAAAAACAGTTGCTTGAAATGTGTCACCATGCACAATTTTAACCTCTTGTCATTGAGACAAGTGGAATAAATTTGGAAGATTTGTGTGGCAGAAATATGTTTCAGCCTCCTGTCATCCTCTAAAAATTTTCAAATCTTTGCCTTCTACTTTAAAAGGTTTTCAAACCACTGTTAAATTTCTGGAACATTGTCAATTTTCATTTGTATTTCCTTGACAAGCACCTCTCATCACTAAACTAAATTACTTAATTCTTAGGTTTTCAAATAGTGATAAATCTCAACCTCCACTCTGAAAATTTTCACTTTAGCTAAATTAAAAAATGATTTTTCCACAAGTTACTGAAGCAAAGAGTTAATCAATTACTAGTCATATGAAAACTTTTTGCATATGGCTGATTTGTGAAATTCACTATCAAGTGGTTCTAGTACTTACTCATACTGGTACTCACACTCATAAATTTAGACACATACATGTGTTAACTTAGCTCTTGTAACTATGGTATGATGTAGGTTCAGTCTTAATTTGGGTTTCACACTAGTTTCAGGTGAAGATTATATATATATATGTGAAATTTACCATGTGAAAAGCAGGTGATCAAAGTGTTTTGGAGGCATAAAAGTGTTGCCCCTTTCTTTTTTACATGCTCTGGACCAGCTCTTAATCTTTGTCTTCTTCTTTAGAAGGTTTTCAAACCAATGTTAAATTTCTGAAACATTGTCAATTTGTATTTCCTTGATGAGTTTAGTAAAATGGAAACAATTCGTTGATTTGAAAACTGATTTTTGTAGTGTTCAGTAATAACTCATTTCATCAGATGTCACACACCTCTCATCACTATACTAAATTACTTAATTCTTAGGTTTTCAAATAGTGATAAACCTCCACCTTCACTTTGAAAATTTTCACTTTAGCTAAATTAAAAAATGATTTTTCCAAAAGTTACTGAAGCAAAGAGTTAATCAATTGCTAGTCATATGAAAAATTTTTGCATATGGCTGATTTGTGAAATTCACTCTCAAGTGGTACTTAATTTTAAGTTTCTCCCTTTAATTTAGATGTTAAGAGGGAATTTCATTAAATTTAGATCTTCAATGATATTTGTCTGAAAATTTGCACTGTGATCAGATGGAAAATAATTGTGGGTTTTCTTGGATTGATTTCAGTCAGGTTATAACTTTACCTAGTATCAATCTCATGACCAACTGTTGCTAACTGCCAATTTCTGTCTGTTCAGAAAAGGGTTGAGAATATTTTAGAAAAGAACCTGTTTAATATTATTTTCATATGAAAAATTGTTGCAAGTGGCTGATTGTGAAATTCACACTCAGGTGGTACTTAATAAGTTTCTCCCTTCAATTTGGATGTTAAGAAGGAATTTCTGCTAAAGGGCATCTCATTATGAGGAATGCAGTTTGCAGGGTTACCCCCACCCTACCAATACCTTGTGGAAATTTCTCAAGCTTACCCAACTGATTTAACCCTTTCACTCCCACAAGTGACCAAGACAGAATTTCTCCAAACAATATCAAAACAATACAAAGCAGACAAGTGATGAGAATAAAGAAACTATTAGTATGATGATAATTAGTTGACCCAACACCAAATTCTTAGAAATAAAATAATAAGAGATGTAAAGCAGACAGTTAGATAACTGCTGTTAAGATCTAGAGAGTGACAATGAGTCATAGTATTATGTATGTCCCAACACTCATATGGGCAATTCCATGTTACAGACATTACATTCAGAGACCACTTTTTTGAAAACTTATTTCCTTAACAAACTTATTTTGCACAGTTTTAAATTTATAATTTGTACAAACATTCCTCACATGGTACTTGACTATCAGCAGAAAAGAAACTTTCCTTTCTTTAAAAAGGGTTGCCAACATTTTTGTGTATAACTCTGTTACAGACATTACAAAAAAATAAACCTACAATTGTAGGTTAAGAAACATATCAATCAGGGGATTATTGGCTGATCCAATATCAAATTCTCTAAACTAAAATCATAAGAACTGTATGGAGAAAGATGGGAGGGTTCATAATGAGAGCTTGGGAATGAAAGGGTTACAAAAGTCATTAAATCTAGATCTTCAATGATATTTGTCTGAAAATTTGCACTTTGATCAGATGAAAAATAATTGTAGGTTTTCTTGGATTGATTTCAGTCGGGTTATAACTTTACCTAGTATCACTCTTATGACCAACTGTTACAAACCACCAATTTCTGTTTGTACAGAAAAAGCTTGAGAATATTTTAGAAAAAAACCTGTTTAATATTATTTTCATAAACAAAATGGAATGGAACAAGATGATTCCTTTTGCAGCCAGTTTATTTAATTTGTACCTGGGCTCCATAGATTGCAGCAACTGAAATTGCAGTCAAAACTGCATTTTTTTTAGCATGGAGCATGAAGCAAATGGTATGAAGATTTTTGCACACTCTTGATTAGAAACAAGAAGGCATAAAATCTTCAGATATTCCAAATTAATTTCCAGAAGGAAACTAATGTTTTGACTTTTCATTACAAAATAAAAAGGGTGCCAAAATGAAGAGGTCCTCCTCTTCGGTATTTTACAGTCTGTGGTAAAGTCTTAAGATAGAGATACCGTGTAGTTTTACGATTACCCCTTCATTTCAGTTTGTAATAAAGTCTCCTCTTGGTGATTCAGGCAATCAATTTTCCAGAAATAAAAACAGTTGCTTGAAATGTGTCACCATGCACATTTTTAGTCTCTTTTCATTGAAACAAGTAGAATAAATTTGGAAGATTTGTGTGGCAGAAATATGCTTCAGCCTCCTGTCATGCTTTATAGATTTCCAAATTTTTGTCTTCTTTAGAAGGTTTTCAAACCACTATTAAATTTCTGAAACATTGTCAATTTGTATTTCCTTGATGAGTTCAGTAAAATGGAAACTGATTTTTGTAGTGCTCAGTAATAACTCATTTCATCATGTGTCATACACCTTTCATCGCTATACTAAATTACTTAATTCTTAGGTTTTCAAATAGTGATAAACCTCCACCTCCACTTTGAAAATTTTCACTTTAGCTAAATTAAAAAATGATTTTTTCACAAGTTACTGAAGCAGAGAGTTAATCAATTATTAGTCATGTGAAAAATTGCTGTAAATGGTTGATATGAGAAAATCACTGTCAGGAGGTACTTAACAGGTTTCTTTCTAGAGAAGTCAAGGAGTAATTTCTGCTGAGGGGCAACTCATTTAGAGCAATTTAGTTTCCAGGGTTACCCCACCCCACCAGTACTTTGTGGAAATTTCTCAAGCTTACACAACTGATGTAACCCTTCACTCCCACAAGTGACCAAGACAGAATTTCTCCTAACAGTATCAAAACAATACAAAGCAGATAAGTGAAGAGAATAAAGAAAAATATCAACAAAGAGATTATTAGTTGATCCAATACCAAATTCTTAGAAATTAAATGATAAGAGATGTAAAGCAGACAGTTCAGATAATTGCTTTTAAGATCTAGAGAGTGACAATGTGTCACAGTAATATGTATGTCCCAACACCCATATCCTTAAATAAGTGTATATCCCTTGTGGAATACACAGAACATTGTAGCTAGGCCAGTATAAAAACAAACTGGTAGATGATTATCATTGAGGTGGAACATAAAAGAGGAAGAAAACCATCCAGTAAGTTAATGCCAAAGCTGAAAACCACTGAATGAATGCATCAAGAGCTTAAAACATTATTTTCTTTCTCAGTAGAGCATTTGTCTTTGAACAGGCGAGTTTCCTTAACGATCCTTACGTCTATAATTATAGCACCATAAGCGCATGACTTTAGCCGACTCAATAAAACTAATTAAATGACAAGATCTTCTTTTCTACAACCAAATGGTCAACAAACTAATCTCATTCTACTTACAATTTCTTTCTTGAACATCTTTTAGGGCTTACGTTCCGAAGTTTTCTCTCAGTGCGATGCTATTTGACACCCGCACATGGTCACTATGACCTTGGGGTCGCAGGGACCAGGGATACAATTGCGTTTCCAGGGTCTTCTCTCTCTTCCTCCCTCGAGGAATAGAGAGGACCCTGGGAATGAGCTCGGCCGGGACGATAATTTTTCACGTACGTGTGTTTGAGATCGCGCGTGTTGATTAATCGCGCGCAAGCAAATATATTTGATTGGTCATAAATTTATGGGTAGATATATATACATTTCTTTAAAAAAAATTAATTCATGAACCCTGTTAATTACACTTAATAAGGCACCAATTAGTCTTACCTATACCGTGCCCTTCTCCATTCCTATTTTTCTAAATTGTATTTCTTCTTTTTTTCTTGTATGTTTTTTTTTAATAAAACTCTTTCCTTGGATTTCCTAGAAACCTTTTATGATATGGATGGAGAGAAATTATAATGATGAAAATAGAAACAGGTCCATGCTTAAATATTTTAGAATGCTTTCTTTTAAGTAAGTATACAATCTTTTCCACCTTTGCAGGATTCATAAACACGGACAATTTGAAGAAGAAAAAGTTGTCAGTGTTGAGAGACGCTCTCAACGAAGTAGTGATCCCACCAGTGAGAGAAATCATGAGCAAAGAAATGCCAAAGCACTATAAGCAGATGGCAGATCGTTATAAACTGCACAGGCAAACTTTTGCTAAGCACGTGAAAGAACTCGGAGGGGTGAAATTGAACTATAAGAGCATCAACAACAACCAATATATAAAGAATCCAGATCGCTATGACTACAATGTTAAAGATGCAATATCTTTGGCTAAAATCTTCCTTGAACCTCACATGGCGAAATTTACCAAATTTGATATAAGATTTGAACCTGCGGCTGTTCTGTGGGTACTTCAGTGTGTCGAAGAATTTGGCAAAAATGTCAATGGCGCGGCCAAAGATGTGAGAATAACAGTGCGGAAACCTTGTGCTCATTACAAAATCTACGAAATGACGGATGAGAATTACAAGAAAGGCTTCCGCGCCATGGAATCTCTGGTAGAAAGTTTTCTTCAAAGTGAGGATCAAAAGGAAATACTGGATAAACTAAAAGAAAGGAAAACTCAAGGCAAGTCTTAAGACGTTATTTGCGGTTTTTTTTCTTAAGAGTTGGGTGCTTATTTTATCTGATAATAGTACTTATAACAATAATAATAATAATAATAATAGTAATAATGATAATGATAATGATCGTTTTTAAGGCAGCCTTCTAAACAATTTATGGGTTTAAAGAAGAGTCAGAGAAAAGTTAGCTAATACTAAAATCTAGCTAAGAAATAAAAAGATGTTAAACATTTAAAAGGTATATGCAAAAATAGAATAGACGAATGATATAATTAAAATTCAAAACAGCTTGACTTTAGACAGGCCACGCCTCCTAAAGAGGAGTCTGATCTGTTCCAATTGTCTTTTCTCAAGTTAACTGACGACCAAGGCGTGAAGTGAGCGCTATGAGAACCTGAGGGGCGAGACAAGGACACACGCCCCTCGCAATAGCCTCCGCTCGCCTGTAAAACGCAATGAATAAGTCATTTTATTAATTTATAAGTTGCATTGATGCCTGTTGTGCAGGTAGGCTGGACCAGATTCGCCTGACGTTCTACCGGAGTTCAATTTTCTGAGTCAACCATATCCATATAGTGTCGGGTTATTTGACTTGACAATTTGGAAGGTTTTCAACCCGCTTAAAAATTAGGTTCGTGTATTCTCTTTAACTTGCGTGTAACTAAAAGGTGAAATCTTTCTTTATGCTAGAGCTTGACGATTTCCAGTATAACAACTTACATAAGGAAGTGGATACACTACAAGACATGGTAAAAAACATCGAAGAAAAAATAAGCGTAAACATTAAAAGGGAACGCCAGTTCAAACGTGAGGTTCATAAAGCCATTCTTAAACTCCGAGATGATCGATCAGACTTTCAGAACAGTTGGCTGGAAAAGCTGGAAGGATTGGAAAAGTACTTTAGTTCTGAAATGCAAAAGCTTAAACAACAAATCTTAGGAGAGAGTGTTGACGAGTGCATCGATAAACTTTCTGGAATGGCTGAAAACGTAATGGAAACTGGAGGAGCCTTCAGTAACGAACAATTTGCAAAGGATAGTAGGTTAGAGTTAAGCAAAATGAGACAATTTACAGAACGAGAGAAACAGTCCCAACCTGCGCAGCCAGAGCTTGACCATGTCCGGTGTCTTGTGTCCTTTCGTGAGAATGTGGATGCACTACGGGACATGGTAAAAACCATCGAAGAAAGATGGAGCATAAAGATTGAAAGGGAACGCCAGTTCGAACTTAGGTTTCATGAAGCCTTGATTAAACTTGGAGATGCACTAGCACACTTTCAGAACAGTTCGCTGGAAAAAGAGGAAAGATTGAGAAAGTCCGTAAGTTCTGAAATGCAAGAGTCTAAACAACGATTCTTTGAAAAGAGTCTTTACGAGCGCATCGATAAACTTTCTGGAATGGTTGCAAAGTTACTGGACTCTGAAGTAACCTTCAGTAACGAACAACTCGTAAAGGAAATGTGGTCACAGTTAAGCATAATAAGACGATATACAGAAGAAACTTAACGAGGAGCTGGCCTCTGCTGCTTATAATCGTGAGCTTAATGAATTGCTAGTCTTATAGGAGCTCGTTACTGAAAATAAGAACACACTTAAAGCAAAAAGAAAAGAAAAAAGCAAAATCGTGAGCAACAGCACTTTAGGAAACATCGTAGTAGACGGAACTAGGACGTAGGATTAATATAGCGCCCGAGATGGCGATGCAAAAGTGTTGCTCGTTCTAGGCGTGCCTTCCAAGGCCTAGAGTATTTGACTGTTTTTCTTCCTCTGTTTCCTTTTTTTTAACTCGTGAATTGCGCGCATGCGCAAGAGCGAGTTATAGATACGATGTGGGGAATGGAATTCGCTCGCTCGATTGGTCGATTCCTGTAAACTTTTTTTTAGATTTTAGGCTTTTGAGTGCATTTTATAGTTTTTGGCGAGCAATAAACAGACGAAATGGCGACCTTTGTTGCTAAGAATAGTGGTGGGGTGAAAAAGAAGCCAATGATAATCTTAAAAGAGTTTTTTTTTTGGTTTTAGTTTCATCAAGCGGCGCCAGCGACTGGCAGGCATGCAAGGATTCACACTGAAATAACAGAACAACCTTCGTTTTTCATAAAATTGTAATTTACAATCCTTGAACTTGAAAACAATCCGAAGATTCATTGAAAATATCAAAATATCAAAATATCACTTACTGCAAAGCGCTCGGAGTTTACAGATGTTCAAAAGCTTTTTCTGTTATAGCGTGAGATTGAGGACAAAATTGATCATTACGTTTCGTCGCGTGTGTTTTTCCTGTGTGAAGCAACAGAAGATGCCGGCGACTGACGAAATAACAAGTTAACACGAAAATCAAATAACACCTAAACAAACAATTTTAGCTACCGATTTTCAATGAATTTTTAAAGAACAATTTTCTTTTAAGTTTCAAGATAATTTGAAGATTCAACATACATACAAGGTACTAAAATGCGAAAGTTACACACCACAAAATTGATAAATAGGCCTGAAATGAAATTCTATCTTGTTATTAATTATACGTTGCCTAGCACGTGACTTAAATCTACCCAGGCGGAGATCCAAAATGACGGTGGCAAGCTTGGCTTAGTTATATCACTCAAAACTCGTTCCCATTTGTCTCATTTGATAAAGATGGAATCGTTAATGTTTTCATTAAGACAGTATTGCCTTGATTTTCTAATATTTACAACGAAAGTCAGTAAATTTCACTTTCCACCCACATTTACTTCCAACCTTTTCTTTTGAACCAGAAACAAAAATGATAGACGTTTAAAACACATGACATCATCCACCTTGTCAAATGTAATAGCATGATCATTTCAATTGTAATGCCTTCTTGTCCCAACGTTACTTTGTTTCTTTGCTACATTAGCGAACGCTGAACTACTGCTCGTACTCTAGATATGACAATCAACCACAAAATTCCCTAAACCAGATAAAATTAAACATAATCTAAAAAATCATGTGTCAATTCACGAGTTTGCTCACAGAGCACTTTGATTCTTTTTCTTTGCTTATACTTCACCCCGCCCGGGAGATTATTGAATAAGGGGTACAGCTGGCCCGGGGTTTTCCTCCTAGGTGCAAGTGGACGTACAGGGAGGTTTTTCACCCAGCTGTTGTTCCACAACCCCCATTTACACTGGCTTTTGCTGAACTGGAATCATGAGGATTTTTAAAGTTTGTATCATACATTTGAGCTAACGCCATCGTTGATTGTTGTTTTTCTATTTGTAATATTTATATCTTGTAATAAATTGTACTTGCAATCCAGCGCTTGACTGGAAGCCACAGCAAGAGGTAGTGACTGCGCATGTGTTGTTTCGGGAGGTCTTTGCGGATTAAGAAGGGAGGATCAAAATCGAATACAAGGATTTCAATGTTTTTTTCTTGTCGAAATTTAATTTACTCTGATTCAAAAATGGCTAGACAGGTTAAGAGTCCTTAACTGAATCCAGTTTTGGAGACTTATGGCATTTCTATGATGGAATCATACGGGAAAAATTAGTGAAAAAAAAAACAAGGAGAGAATATAAACCACTTTATTAAATGGACGTGATTGTCTTATTAAAGAAATAAAAAACGCGCGGAGTGCATTGTTGAGTTCTTTAAGCAAGGAATTTTTTAAAAGACACTTGAGAAGTGCGGAGAAGCACGAGCCGAAGGTGAGTGCTTCTCGCTCTTCTCGAGTGTTGTTAAAAATTCCCAAGTGCTTATATAACTCAAGAATACTCGAGGAGCAAGCTTTTTTTAATTTCTTTTATAAAATGTATCGTGAATTTCGCGCGCTCGTGCGTAGGCTTATATTTCAACAGTACACTCATTTGACATAGGGCGCGTGCTTTATGGAAATTTATAAAATGTTCAGAGAAATGCGCACACCGTGATTGGTCAGAATGAGTCCATTATATCTCCACTAAGCATGCGCCTTACGTCACACGAGTGCACTGTTAAGATATAATGCACGCAGTCTACGTCATCGGTACGAGCGCGCTCAATTCACGATTCATTTTATTAAAAAAATACAGAAACTTGTTCCTCGAGCATTGTTGAGTTATATATATAAGCACTTGGGAATTTTTAATACTCGAGAAGTGCCTTCGGCTTGTGCTTCTTCGCGCTTCTCGAGTGTCCTTAAAAATTCCTAAGTGCTGATATACCTCAACAATGCACTCGGCGCGTTTTTTATTTCTTTAATAATGAACTCGTTCTGACCAATCACGGCGCGCGCATTTCTCTAAAAATTTAATAACGGGAACTAAAACACTTGTAGACTCTACACCACATCCGAGAACCGAATGGGGTATTTTCCTTATGTACCACGAGTGGCCGCGATATTGAGCAACGATGTCACAATTCTCGCCATTTCAAACATTGCTGAATGAACTTGGCTTGTTTGTGGTAAAGAATTTTTAAATGGCTGCGGGATTTGTTATGATAAACGGCGAAGATGTAAATGCACTTTCTGAACAACAAGACAACGAAAAAATAATAGAAATTAATTTTATGCTGGCGTGGTACGAATAATATCGCACAACATTGCTATTGCAAAAAAGTAAAAATTAATATTTTATCGCTACCGTGTAATATCCTCTATTTATATTCTCTTGGTATGGCAAAAGACGATTTTCGAATATTGGTCGGTTCGATCCGGATAATTTTCAGTCCAAAAGCAGATTCGTTCAAAGAGGCGCACTTGAAAAAAGCGAATGTTTAAACATTTACTTCCAAATCTAAACAGAGAAAAATATCAGCATCTATCAATATGCAATTAACTAGATTACTCTGACTGGCTCGACGGTTTGTAACTTTCCATGCGTATTTCAAAAGTCGCTTGCGCATATTCTTTCCTGAACTCCAAGTAAGCCTAAGGTATTAAGCTAAAGGTCATAATGCTAAAACTTACTGTCGGACTGCCGGGGAAAATTGACGATTAGGTGAAAAGAAGGAAATCAGCTTTTTGAATTGCCGTTCTCACAAGGTCCCAGTGCATAGCTAGAAAGTCTCTGGATAATGGACACAACGATAACTGGGGATTGATCACTAATCGAGTATCGAGTATCGATCGCTCATAAAGGATCAAGTTTTAATCAGGTTCGAGTAAACAGGCTTCTACTGCAATTAGTTCAAAGCAATGGCAAATGAAAAAATAACCTTTTATTCAACTGAATCTTGTTATTACACGACAATGAAATTAGAAGGTTTCAATGTGGCGCCGAAAACGGGATTTGATTGTATTTCGGGAGTTAAGAGGTTGCGACAGGACAATAATGACTTACAAATACCAAGCTCTTTTACCCCTAGGATAGTTTTATGTCATTCATGGTATGCATTGTGTATTCCATTAGTGACTTTTTACCTTCCTTTTTTGAAAAAAATCTAAAGAGCTCCTTGGTTTTACCCAAAACTATTGCACCAAGCCCTAACGAATTTTCGGTAGCAAACCATGGGTTGATTTTGAACAACACTACAATTCAACACGAACAAACTTGTTCTCAACTTGTACCTGAGTTGTTTACTAAGGTTTCTTCCATCATTAGCTTTGGAACCGTCATGGGCAACACTTATGTAATAACAGCCCTTCTAAAAACTACCCATCATTAGAACTAGCATTATCTACTACATAGTCAACATGGCGGTGTCTGACTTCCTTTGCGCATGCTTTAGGTGGCCGCTATCTGCAATTGAAGGCATGCCGACCGGGACAGAGTTTATCACTGAGACTTGTGCCTCAGTCGTTTGCAAACTAGGGATGTACCTCAGAGAAACATCACAAGTGGTGTCTCTGTTGAGCTTTGTTCTGATAAAAATAAAAAATAAAATAAAAATACCGCCGCCACAGTTTTCCCCATGAAAACCTCATTACTTTCGAGGAAAAACATTCGTCTAACTTTGTTAGCTTTGACCTGGATGACACCATTTGCTTCTAGTGTGCTGTTTCTCCTGTACACTAAAGTTGTGTACCTTGACGGACAACTTTAGTGCAGACATTTGAGGGGCAAATCACTGAGCACAGTCTTCAACGGGTTCGGCTTCGTTATTTTCGACATTACCCACACTTATTACGATGATGACCCTGTACACGCACACAATAAAAGCATTGCGAGAACGTCCGATTTCCTCGAAAGACAGCACGAAAGACAACAAAGCAGGCCGTCCATTTCACGTATCTGGAAACATAACTGGCTCAAGGCAAAGCAATATCAAAGAATCTGTCGAGTTTCGCTAAGTTTATTAAATCGCTTTTAACATATTATGCCTCAGTGTTGATATCATTTCACCTATGAATAAAGATGCAGACGACATCAGATCAAATAATTATAACAATCACCATGCAAAATTTGGTTTGTCCACATTTTTATATCCGTATATTTCTTTCAAAATTACGAAAACAGGTTTGAGTTTTTGGGAAACGCCTACCCTTCCGTCTCCCTCTGGGTTCACAACACCCATCGCCTTCTATAAAAGCTTGTTTTCACTGGCGACGGAGTCTTAGTATAGTCGCAGTCGAAAGAGCGCCTTCGACCAAATGAAAATCGAAAATTGAAGTCGTAAGTGGTGTCATAAGCTGGCCGGAATCGTAGTCAGAAGAATCGGAACAGTTCCATTTGCTTCCGCTTCCTCTCATGACTCCAAAGCTTATGATCCAGTGAAAACTGAATTGTCAGAGTCGCAGGCGGAGGTGAAAAATACATCAATTACGATGCGAGTTCTCAGGTCATCCGATCGCTTTTAATCTGATAATCCAGTTTTCACTGGATCGTAGGTGACCAAATTTCTTCTGATTCCGTAGGTTTGATTTTCGTTAAACCATATCGCTTTATCCAACTCTGACTTCGTCGTGAGTGAAACCAGTCTCAAGTGAAATAAGTTCAAATATATTACTTGTCGATATTACGATAATTATCCGTATTGCTTAGACATCTATA